CCCCAAAACCCCAAAACCCCAAAACCCCAAAACCCCAGATAGTAGTATCTCTGTTGAACTTGATAATATATTAATTAGAAAGAGTATATCACAATTAGACATTCGACAATCAAATTATTAGAATAGTTATTACATGATAAAGATTTTTATCTTGGGTTAGTTTGCACCTTTGTGGTAAGAATTCTCTTCAAGCTTCTTAGAAACCTTCTAGTATTTCTGAGAATTTAGTGTTCCTACTTCCGCTACTGTTTCCTGAGACAGTTCCCCCGATCTCTAGCTTCTGATATGCATAGCTTCTTTCGTAGCTCTTCACGCTAACGCTTAGGGTTCTCTCGATTTCTCCTTTTGTGAAGAATATATAGAGGATCCAAACTAGGATTGGAATGTATTCTATCAGTATTATGATAGAAAAGTGGACCATCTTGCTTTTGCCATTTAAGTTAACTCCAGTCACGAGGAGGTTGTAGTTTGTCACAAACCCGAATATATTTATTCAGATTCTAGCAATGTAAGAAGTCAAAATACTAGCTGTGAGAATCAAAACCCACTTTCAGATAGCCTTTGTCTCATTGAAATCAAAAATTGTGAAATATTTAACTATTTTCCAGGTTAAATATAGGTTTATGACTACAAAGATTACTTCCAGTGATGTGTTAATGTAGGTATGAATGTCAAGTATGATTCCAAGAGACTGGCTAATAGCTACCAGAGCTACCATTCCTGCTGCAAAAATATGAGAGAAGCATTTGATTTTGGAATAATACTCACTTGATTCTTCGAACCTGAAAAGGACTCATTTCCTGGCCCAAATTATTAAAGTAGCAGTATTTCATAATAAAAAGCTTGAGATTGAGACAACTTCAATGTAACTATGGAGGTCATCATACAAAATGAGCCATAGGACGGAAGCTATGCGCACTCCCAAGATCAGATATATTCCAATATACATGTAGAAATTGATAACCCTCCTGAGCGCATGATATTTCTTTAGTTTATAGATCATTATCGAGGTATAGATTATTAAAGAGAGTCCATAAAGAGATAGCAAAACAAAAGACAATACTTTTCCAGCATGGCATCCAGAAGTTACTCACTTTCCTTCTCTTTGATCCTCAGGTTCGTCCGTATCGCTGCTGAATAATAATGATTTCATATTTTTATTATTATAACTCAATAAGGTATGATTGGTCTGGGGTTTTGGGGTTTTGGGGTTTTGGGGTTTTGGGGTTTTGGGG